CTGTCTCTCTCTCTCTCAAAAATAACTAAATAAACTTAAAAGTTTAAATTTTTTTCACAAAAGTAATTTAAAAAGCCTAAATTCTGGTCAGTGTATTTTTGGCAATTAAGTGAATTATGTGTGTTCTAACTTTTCACAGCTTGGTAATATGTACACTGAGTTTAAGTCCACAGTTAACTTTTCCATGACTATATGAAATTTAAGTTTATTTTTTTTAAGTTTATTTACTTATTTTGTGAGAGAGGGAGAAGGAGAGAAAGAGTGGGGAAGGGCAGAGAGAGGGAGAGAGAAAGAATCCCAAGCAGGCTCTTCACTGTAAGAACAGAACCTGAGATGAGCTTGAACTCATGAACCACAAGATGATGACATGAGACAAAACTAAAAGTTGGTTGCTTAACTGACTGAATCACCCAGGTGCCCAAGTTTCATTTTTAAGTTTCATTTTTAAGTATGGAATCAAAGACTACCTATAACTGGTAAAGACATTTACCACACACACACACACAGATTAAAGCAAAAAACTTGTTTTCTCAGAATATTTCATGCCTTAACTGTTATCTGTAATGGGCCTTTTATGCATAGTAATAATTTTAACATGTAAAAACATACAAGGGGTAAGGCAAAAATTCAACTAATCTCTTGCTAAATGAAAACAACCTTTACTTAAGATCACATACTAAGATCCCAACCATATGGAATCACTCACTAGATGAGGCAGTTACTGGTTCAGTTATTATAAAATAGTTCCTTGTAGACATTCTGTAGCCCTTTTTATGATTTTAAAACATGACAGACTAAGGTCAAATTCAGATAGCTAAAAGAGGCACATGTAAGGTTGAAAGCAGCAAGTAGAATCTGTGCATATTATAGGAACTGCCAGTTAAAGCATGAGAGATGGAATGATCAAGGAAAAATGGTATTATTTTGTCACTTTCATTTGTAGAAAAAAATGAATGGAAACATTTACAAGTATTTGTTTCATTACAGAAATATCCTATTACATGGGGCGCCTGGGTGGCTTAGTCGGTTAAGCGTCCGACTTTCGCTTAGGTCATGATCTCGCGGTTCGTGGGTTCGAGCCCCGCGTCGGGCTCTGTGCTGACTGCCAGCTCAGAGCCTGGAGCCTGTTTCAGTCTGTGACTCCCTCTCTCTGACCCTCCCCTGTTCACGCTGTCTCTCTCTCTCTCCTAGAAATAAATAAAACATAAAAAAAAAAAAAAAAAAAAAGAAATATCCTATTACAGCTCCATCTCATGGACATCATTATCCTGTAAGAGAAAATTGTTCCCTTTGTGGACTACAGACTTGAATATATTCATAGAAAAAGGCATGCAAGTTAAAATCTATGCTATATTTTCCCTTTCTGTTTGTACTGCGCTCTCTTTGTAATGGCAGGTCATGTTCTTAAAGGGATCCTGGGGCAAGTTTCCTGCCTACACCCTGTATCCAAAATGTCAGTTCACTGAAACAAACTACCAAAGAAACAAACTTTGTTTTAGCAGTTTTAGTTTTTGTATACTTAAAGAAGAAATAAATCATTTATTTGTGGTAATGTTAATTCTGTACTTTATTATATATGGCTACTATCAAACCAAGGAAAAATATGACTATCTCAAAGTTAGTAGAAGGAGAAATTTGGACCCAGAGACTATAACAGATTCATAGTTAATACTATAGAAGGAAAATATCAGAGGCTACCACATGTCACACCTACATCAGTCATTCTAAGAGGCGCTCACTGGCTTTCCTATACTGCTTAGCCTTCCTTGAATCCATCTTCTCTTCCAACTAGCGAATGGCACCTTCTCAAAATAAAAATCTAATCATGTCATCCGACTTCTTAAATCTTTCATTATGCTTGAGATAAAATGCAAAATCCTTTTATGACTGACATATTCCTTTTACAATACAAGTATTGCCCTCATCTGCTCTTTCTAGGTCCTGGGACTTACACTTTCTGACCCTTCTGCCAGAATGTGTTTCTTCCCATTATTTGCTGTCTATTCCTACTCATGTATCAGCTGAAGCACTACTTTCTCAGACCTATGACAGGAGACAAACAAGGAACAGGAAATAAACAAATACATATTCAGATGGTATTAATTGCTATAGAGAAAGGTAAAGAGTAACGACGGGGTTGTTATTTTGCACAGGATCATCAAAAATGGCCTTGCTGATCAAGTAGTATTTGAGCAGAGACCTGAAGGGATTAGAAGTAAAACTTGCAGCTATCTGGTGAAAGAGCAGTCCAGGCAGAGCAGGAAGCTGGCCCTATATTTTATTTATGAAGAACAAAATCTGTAACTATCTAATACCAAAGAATTATTTTTGTAATTCCGTTTGGAGAGATTTTTTTTTTCAAAATCAAGTATTTCTATTACTTTATTAAGTTTATATATAAACTTGTTTTTTGGGACATAGCACTCATGAAGTAAAGGATAAGAGAAAGGGAAAAGAGAGGGATGTGAAATGGGAAGAAAACAGGAAGGAAGAGAGAGAGAGTTATTACTTATTGAGTACTGTGCAATTTTCTTTTATTGTTTGAGAAAGAGCAAGAAGGACAATATGGCAAGCCATGTGAGGGTATCAAGCAAAGAGAACACTATAAGACAACTCAGGGGGAACATGGAGACAAACTATGGTAAAATAGATTTTGACTTGAAAAAAAAATCTAGAATGGAGTGAGTGTAGAGCTGAACAAAGGGAATCTAGGATGGAGGGGAAATGGGTTAGGGGCTTCGTCAGGGTGTGGTACAAATAGGAGACTATTGTATGGGCCTTGGATGTTTCTCTGAATAAACTATGATTCCTTTGTATGTTATAAGAAGAATAGCAACATGATCTGGCTTATGTTTGAATGATCACTCTAGCTGCTATGTTGAAAATAGAACAGAAGAGGCAAAGAATAGTAGCAGGGAGCCTAGTTAGGTGCTTCTTGCAATAATCCCAATGATCAATGATTGTGACTGCACAAATGTGGTAGAGATGCTTGATGAGTGTTTGAGACCTCGGTTTATTTAGAAGATAGTGTCAGTAGAGAAAGAAAGAAAGAAAGAAAGAAAGAAAGAAAGAAAGAAAGAAAGAAAGAAAGAAAGAAAGAAAATGCCAACAGAATTTGCTAATATGAGATGGAAGGGAAAGAAGTGTAAAGAATTATTCCAATATTTTGGCCTAAGAAACTATAAAGAATAGGAAATAGAATTGCCATATACCTCAAGGTGGAAAACTCAGAAAAACTCTTTTATGGGGGGTGGAGGGGCATGGGCAGGCTGCTGCTTCTACTTAAATAAAGAAATCTCCTTAGAAAATGTTGAGTTTGAGAAGCCTATTAGATAATCAAGCAGAAGTGTCTAGTCAAGAGTCAGATATAAAAATCTGGAGTTTAGCAAAAGATTCAAGGCCAGAGGGCCTATTAGAGCCATTTACAAATACATGGTATTTAAAACTTGAGACTAAAAGATGTTATTTTTAAGATAAGTGTAGATAAAAGATAGCAGGTCAGAAGACCTCAAAGACACCACAAATTTAAAGATCAACAAGATAAGGGGGCTCTAAGAAAGCATTAGCCTGGTCTGAAATAGAAGAACATCCCAGAGATTTTTGTTTTAAGTGGTGAGTTTGAAAAAGTGGGGAGCAATAAATACTAATACAGAAATGAGAGAAGGTACATCACTACAGGTCCAATGGATGTTAAAAAAGGAATACTATGGACACCTCAGTGCCCACAAATTTGATAAGTTAGATAAAATGGGCCAATTCCTTGAAAGACACAATCTGCCAAAACTCGAGAAGAAGTGGTAAATCTAAATTGTCCTATGTCTACTTAGAAATCAAATAAATATTTAACATTCTTCTAAAATAGAAAACACGAGGCCTAGATGGGTTCACTAGTGAATTCTAACAAACACTTAACAAATAATTTGTGCCAGTTTCTCTATAATCTCTTCCAGAATATAGAAGCAGGGGGAGAATACTTCCTATCTCATTCTGTGAGGCTCTAATTACCCTAAATATAAAAATATGACAACATTGCTAGAAATAAACCCTATAGATGAATCTTTCTCATGAACATAGATGCAAAGTTTTCAACAAAATATTAGCAAATTGAATCCTACAGTGTATAAAAAAAATTATAGGCCATGACCAACTGGCATTTATTCCAGGTATGCAAAGCGATTTTAACACCCAAAAATCAAATACTATAATCCATCACATCAATAAGCTAAAAAGAAAAATCACATAATAATATCAATAGATGCAAAAAAAAAAAAAAAGCATTTGACAAAATCTAACACCCATTCATGATAAGAAATCTCATCAAACTAGAAACAGAGGGGAGCATCTTCAACAAAACAAAAATTATCTACAGAATCATACAGGTTATATCATATTTAATTAAGAAAACCAGAAGCTCTTCCACTAAAATTAGGAAAAAGGCAAGGGTATCCCTTCTCACCATTCCTTTTCAACATAATACTAGAAATCCTAGGTAATGCAAACATGAGAAAAAACAGGCAACATAAATATATTTAATATATCTAAAGATATCCATATATTGGAGTTATCAGATTTTAAATAACCATTACTTATGTTTTTGAGAAAATAGATGACAAAATGGAGAGTTCTTCAAAGAACTAGAATCTATAAAGAAGAAACAGATATTCTCACACAGAAAATTATAATAACTAAATTTAAGAACTCAATATTTGGGTTTTAGCAGATTACATTGAGCAGAAGGATTAGTGAACTGAAAGATAAGTTACTTAAAAGCTATGTTAACTAAAACAATGAGTGAAAAAATGTAAGGAAAACACAGAAAGCAATGTAAAAGTGACTTACAAATCATAGTACAAAGGTTTTGTCTCTGATGTATATAAGTCACCCCAAATCAGAGTATCTGCAGCATTCTGTGGACAAAATCTTTTGTGACATCATGAGAGAAATCCTGTGTTCATTAGTGAGGGTGATATAGTCACCATGCCACTTTCTTAGAACCAAGGCCTGGCTCCAGAACATGACTTCAAGGCTCCAGGACAACCCTATAAGTATGATTCTTTGAACTCTTTAGTCATCTGGTTGACCTCAATGAATGGTGTACAGAGACAAAGAGCACTTCTAAGAAATCTGACCCATGCATATCCTAGTTTAGGCTCCAGGTACCCTGACATTGCGGATTCTGGCTGATTTTAGCCACCAGAAGGTGATTATAAAAACTTTGAAAAAAGACAGTCTAAACTGATAGGACCTGGGGAGTTTTGAAGAGGGGACTGAGATTTGAGACCCAGGTTGGGGGTTGCACCTACTTGGGTCTAAAACAAGTAGTGAGAATTTTAATGATCTTTTAGGTAGCATATGATCTAACTCAAGCCAATGAGAATCATTCCTTGTTTTTTTTTTTTTCTTGAATTATTGGAGAAGAGATTTTCTTCCCATTCAAGTTCTTAAACTTTGTATTATATAAGCTTTTATATTTTGTTACCCATATTTGCTACCACTGGGGTGAATATGATTGAGAAATAAGCCAACAAAATTGAAAACAAAAGTAAGTGATCAAGAAAGAAAAGGGAAAATATGTTCTTGAAGACAATGGTTATATAGCTGTATTGAACCATTTAGGCAGCTAATTTATTCTAGAAATATACGAGCCAAAATATTCCTTTATTTACTTAAACTGAATAGATACGGAATTTTCTTACTTGAAACAGGAAGAATCCTTATTCATATGCACAAGGTTTTTATGTTCTCACTTCTTTGTGAGGATCTTGTGTACTATTTCTGATGTTTCTGCCTAGACCATGGAGTAGAGCAAAGTCTGAAAGGTGACTGACTCTTATGGGATGATAATAAGTGTTACATTCATTTAAATTATTGACCAGATATTCTTGTGGGACAGCATGTGCTCTGAAACATGAGTGTAGATCTCAAGGGAAGTATCAGGTTTGAGACACACATTTTAGTAGCACTGTCATATTAGTAAGAGTAAGTTTGGGCATTGTATGAGATAGACTGAGAAGATGATTGAGCATGAAATATAAGGGAGCTAAATATGGAATAGGGAATTAGAAGAGAGAAATCAATAAAAAAGAGAGATTGATCTGAGAAGTAGGAGAAAATCAAAGGGTGAACAATGAAGAAAAAGAAATGAGAATAGCATTATAAGAAGAGTTTGGTATATGTTATAAAAGGAAGAGACAAATGACTTGTGGCTACTCAATTTAGCTTTTGAATACTGGATTTGGCAACTTGAGTTAACTAATGACCTTTATGGGAAGAATTGTGTTAGCAGAAGAGACGAGAAAAAAAACTCAGAGGTTGACAGGTGTATCAGTTAAGAATAGGTTAAGCTCAAATTTAAAAAATGATTTATATATAAATAAAAATTTTAAATATATTTGTCTGATAAATTTTAAATATCATGAGTAATTATATTCTTCTTTAATGTTAAATTGGGATTAGTTTCTACGATCTTTATTTGATTTTGAGGCCTTAAAAATAATTAGTGAATAATTTCTTTTATATAAAAGATTACTAAGCTGATTCATAAAAATCAGAAAACTAAGCTTTCATATAATAATTTTTACATATATTCTTACATCTATATAAATGTATACATACATAACACCAACTAATTAAGATCAACATAGTATATAGACTGAACTATATGATGTTAAAATATTATTTCTATTTTAAACTAAAATATTACTTTAGATAATATCATCTAAACTTTTATAGTCTACTACATATATAAATGTTTTTAAAAACTTTTTTAATGTTTATTTGTTTTTGAGAGAGACAGAGTACGAACGAGGGAGGGAGGGGCAGAGAGAGAAGGAGACACAGAATCTGAAGCAGGCTCCAGGTTCTGAGCTGTCAGCACAAAGCCTGATGCGGGGCTTGAGCTCACAAACTGTGAGATAATGACCTGAGCTGAAGTTGGATGCTCAACTGACTGAGCCACTCAGGCGCCCCATATAAATGTTTAAATATATGCATTTAATGCTACATCAATAAATACAAGAAGCTAAAGTGTAATTATAAAAAGAACTGGCAACAACAAAAAAAGTAATAATAAAACAAAACAAAAGTTAGGTATTTATTTTTTTCTTTCATGAAAGAAGTCATGAAGAATATCCCAGAGGTGGTATGAAACTCCAGTTACCTGGTTCACAGGCTGTTTTATCTTTCTACTCTACCATTTAATCCTGGCTTCTTGAGGTTGTTTTCATTGTACCAGATGATGGCTGGAACTCCAGACATGACAAGTGTATTCTAGACAAGAGGAAGGAAAAAGGATTAAGAGAGAGAATATCAACATTCCTTAAAATTTTTTAAAGTATTATTTATTTTTGAGAGAGAGAGAGAGGGAGACACAGAATCTGAATCAGGCTCCAGGCTCTGAGCTGTCAGCATAGAGCCCAATGCGGGGTTCCAACTAATGAGCTGTGAGGTCATGACCTAAACTGAAGTCAGACGCTTAATCTACTGAGCCACCCAGGTGCCCTGGAAAATATCAACATTCTAAATATTAACATTTGTTAAGACATTTTGTTTGAAGTTCACCTAATTTCTGCTTAGGGTCCATTGGACAAGACTAGCTGCCAAAAAAACTTGGGAAATAAAGTATTCCAACTGGGCATGTTGATCAGGATTCAGTTAGACAGGAAGAACAGCAACATGGATACTGGATAGGCAAACAATCTCTGTCTCAATGGATATAATAAGAAAAAGGAAAATATAGTATATTTTCTGAAACTTTGGTAGACATACAGGGAAATAAAAGAATCAGAATTTTTAGGATGGGAAAGACTTGAGTGTTTTTGTGATTAGAAGGGAAGAATACATAATATAAAACACAATTTAGTGATAAGGCAAGATACCAGGAGGGGTAAGAGACAGGAAGCAAGAGTACAGGAGTTTCTGTTAGTTCCTTGAGTTTCCTACTGATTCAAGGAAATCAATGTCAAGACAGTCTACAATGCATTGTTAAACTAGGGCTACCATCTGCTTTACATGGGATTTTAGAGTTTAATAACATAGATACAGTACTTTAGTTTTGCTCTAAAAAACTATGAACATAATTTGTGAAGGTGTATGTTCATTGTAAAAAATAAGCTGTTAAGCAAAAAAAGGATTGTTCTTCACAGATTTGAACAAGAAGTATTGACAGATAAAATATTTTCTAGATGAAATTTAAAAATATTTGGCTATGTATGTGTGTGTCTATATATAAAATAAAATAAAATATATAATGTATATTATATATAATGTAATAATATATAACTAAAACATATAAACATATAAAATGATTCTTTGGATAAAAGAGCCTTTAAACAATCAACTTATTATATCTTAAACATTATTTTCAACACAAGCATTTATCTTTCTTTTTTACTTTTAATCTAGCCTACACACACACACATTTACTCTTAAAAAGGTCCAACCAAGTAAGTATATTAATTGAACATACAATTAATGCTTATGGAAATTGTCTTTGTAGCTTAGAAGGATCTTTTAGGATTTACTGGCAAGTATGACACAATATCTTATTCTTCTGCCTCAGTGTGGTCAGTTCCAAATACTTTCCTCTAGTAACATAAAATAGCATAAATAATTTACTGTTTTATAATTTTTCCATGCTTCAGTTTTATAAAGAAGATTATATAGAATATTTAGAATGAATATTATCAATAAGTTTCTTCTTGTGGATAAGAGGCAGGATTTTATCTTTCATTTTAGATTGAAAAAGTTAAAGGCATTAAGTCATTCTCTAGTTCACATTATGTGTATAAATAATTTCCTTTTTGTTTGTTTAGAAATACCATTTAAGTATTTTTAAAGTTTTATATCTCTACATTTACTTTCTTTATCCTTAAAATATGAATTAATTAATCTAGTCCCATTTTAGGTTTATTCAGTGTCTAATGTTATAGGTCAAAATCATAATTTAGCAATTACCATGCTTTCTGCAAGTTAAAAAAATCCTGTGTATTTAGAAGTTTAATTCATGTTTCTGTCAACTTTTATCAAACACTAGTTAATGTTTCAAAAGTTCCATTGAAATGAGAAGCTTAAGAGAGCTATAAAAGTTCAACTCACGATGTGTTTTCAGTTTGTATAATTGATGCTTTTAAAAATCATGAGTCTTTCATGAAGTACTGTGATGCTGAAGTTATAATGACTTAAAGCTGATGATATTCATATCAACACAGAGATATCACCTTCACTACAAATATTCAATCAGTGGATCCAATGCCTGCACACCATTGTTCTCCTCTTCTCCAAGTGGTTCCTGGCAAATAAAAAATGTGGAAGAAGTGAAAAAAAAGAAGGATGGAAGGGACAGAGGGAGAGTAAAAGAGAGAAGGAAGGAGGGGGAAATGTTGGAATAAATGAGAAAAGTTCTTTTGACTTACAGGCGTGATATTTTAGAGGGAGGTGAAATGAATTCTAGATTAAATTTTCATTATATTTAATGAAATTAATTGAATGAAATGAAATTTTCATTATATTACTTCTTCCGTGAATTGTTTCCCATAGTCTCTTACTCGCTTCAGTCACAATTCTACTTTGTCTCAATTGCCTTAATGCCTTATTGTACCTTTTAAATAATCTAGACCACTTTTACTATGGTTTTTTAAGTGTGAATTTTTATTTTCTACTAGACTACCTGCTATTTCATAAGAAGTACTGGATCCCATTTATTTCTGTAATATATTTAACCCAATAACAGCTATATAGGAGGTACTCATTAAATATTTGTTGGGTAATAAATTAACTCAATTTTTTTAGAGGCTTTGAAATCTATTAGAATTAGAAGTATTTAAAGCCTAATAATGGGACATTAAGTATTCTTCACTGATGATCCTTAAAACAATAATCACAACCATAATTATTCAGGCCTTTCCAGCTGTTTTTTTATTATGTTTGATTTAAAATTTAAATCTTTCCTAGCAAATTTTGCTTCCTCCCTCTCTTTATAGTATTGACATATATTTAGTAATACCAAAAGACATGAATACAGATAGATTTGCAAAAGCTTATATTT